TCTTATCTCTTTTTTTCTCCTATGTCTTTGTTTTCGTTATTTTTTGGACCATTTTTATCACTTTATTTTCTTTTTTTTCTTGTTTATTTTATTTTCTCTAATTAATGTTATAAGTTGTTTTTTCTTGTTATCGTTATTTTCTTCATTGTTATATGTTTTCTTTAACTTTTGTTGAATTATTATCATTATTATCTTATCCCAGTTCTTCTTCTTCTTCTTTTTCTTCTTCCTCTCTTTTTCTTAATTTTTATTAGTTTTCTTTCTCTCCTTTCCTTCTTCTTATTGTTCATTTTTTTCCTTTAATACTATTATCATCGTCATTATTATTAGCATCACCCTTATTATTAACATCAGTATCATTTTATCACTATCATTTTCATCTTTGTCATTATCATTATTCTTATAGTCATTAAAACTATCATCATCACCAGCATCTCCATCACCATCATCTCCATCACTATCACCATCACCATCATATCCATCTCCATCACTATCACCATCTCCATCATCATCATCGTCTCCATCACTATCACTATCACCATCATCTCCATCTCCATCACTGTCACTATCATCTCCATCTCCATTATCATCATCACCATCATCAATGTAATTATAATGCTGATAATAATCTTAATCATTTAACACTCATGGTAATATATTCGTATTTAAAGACAGAATGTGAAAAATATATATATATATATATGTATATAAATATATATGTATACATATATATATATATATATATATATATATATATATATATATATATATATATATATATATATATATATATTCGTACATATAAAAACAATAATAAATGTACGATATTTATATAACATTTTATTGCATATGAAGTGTAGTTAGGATATATAACTGCATAATTTAGCATTTGTGGGCAATAAAGAACAGACAAAGAGTTGTTTTGAGAGAGAAGTGGTAATTTGGTCTTAAGAAATGAGTGTTTGGTTTTATTTTGTGTTTTTGTTAAGAATGTTTATGTTGGGAGTTTTTTCTCTTTCTCTCTTGTTTGGTTGTTTGGTTGTTTGCGTGTTCTCACTTGTTTGGTTTGGTTTTGGGTTTTCTGGGTTTTTTGTCACTTTCATTCTGTTATTGTCATGTCATTTTCTTCATCTGTCATTGTCATATCACTTTCTTGATCTGTCATCGTCATATCACTTTCCTCTTCTGTCATAGTCATGTCACTTTCTTCATCTGTCATTGTCATGTCACTATCCTTTTCTGTCATCGTCATCTCACTTTCCTTTTTTGTGTCGCCATTTTCGTCTCACTTTCACTACTGATGTTGAGTGAGACTTGCTGTTGCCATATCGAATGTCATGTTGCAAACATATGCTTTTACGTACACGCAGTCACACATACACATATATAAATGTGTTGATTCATATACAGATACACATATATGTATGTATGTATGTATCTTTCTCTCTCTCTCTCTCTCTCTCTCTCTCTCTCTCTCTCCTCTCTCTCTCTCTCTCTCTCTCTCTCTCTCTCTCTCTCTTCTCTCTCTCCCTCTCCCTCTCTCTCTCCCTCTCCCTCTCCCCTCTCTCTCTCTCTCTCTCTCTTCTCTCTCTCTCTCTCTCTCTCTCTCTCTCTCTCTCTCTCTTTCACTCACTCTCTCTCCTCTCTCTCTCTCTCTCTCTCTCTCTCTCTCTCTCTCTCCCTCTCTCCTCTCTCTCTCTCTTTCACTCACTCTCTCTCTCTCTCTCTCTCTCTCTCTCTCTCTCTCTCTCTCTCTCTCTCTCTCTCTCTCTCTATTTCTATCTCTATCTCAATCTCTCTCTCTCTCTCTTTCTTCTCTCTCTCTCTATTATCATTATCATCCTATCATCCTCATCATTATCATCATTAATTCATTATCGTCATCATCACCATCATCATCATTATCGTTATTATTATCAGTATGATTATTATTGTCATCTTCATCATCATTATCACTGTCATCATCACAATCATTATAATTATCATTATCAGTCTCAGCATTATTATCACTGTCACCATCTTCATCATCATCACATTCTCATTCTCCTCCTCCTCCTCCTTTTTCTTTTTCTTGTTCTTCTCCTTCTTCCTCCTCCTCCTCCTCCTCCTCCTTCTCCTTCTCCTTCTTTTTCTAGTTCTTCTCCTTCTTCCTCCTCTTCCTCCTCCTTCTCCTCCTCCTCCTCTCTTTCTCCACGTCCTTGTTATCCACCTTCTTTATCATCTCTGCTGTAACCTAATTCTTTGAATAGTAAGAGACAGTGTCACTCTCCCTCCCTCCCTCCCTCCCTCCCTCCCTCCCCCCCTTTGTAACCCCTCGAGCACCCTCCTCCCCCCCCTCTTCCTTCTTTCACCCTGTAAGTGCCCTTCTCCCTTTCTATCCTTTTATCACTCCCTCTCCCCTCTTTCTTAGCGTTTTTTTAATTCCACTTTCCCTCATTCCCTCATTCAATCCTTCCCCTCATTCTCTTACCCCCTCCCCTCCCTCACTCCCTCATCCTTCCCTTTACTCCCTTTCCCTCACTCCCTCCCCTCCCTCACTCCCTCACTTCCTTCCCCTCCCTCACTCCCTCATCCTTCCCTTTACTCCCTTTCCCTCACTCCCTCCCCTCCCTCACTCCCTCACTTCCTTCCCCTCCCTCACTCCCTCATCCTTCCCTTTACTCCCTTTCCCTCACTCCCTCCCCTCCCTCACTCCCTCACTTCCTTCCCCTCCCTCACTCCCTCATCCTTCCCTTTACTCCCTTTCCCTCACTCCCTCCCCTCCCTCACTCCCTCACTTCCTTCCCCTCCCTCACTCCCTCCCCTCCCTCATCCCCTTCCCCTCCCTCACTCCCTCACCCTTCCCCTCACTCCCTTACCCTCCCTCACTACTCCCCTCGCTCCCATACCCCTCCCCTCCCCTCCCCCCCTTCCCCTCCCTCACTCCTTCTCTCACTCCCTTACCCTCCCTCACTCCTCCCCTCCCCCTCCCCTAAGTTCCCTCACCCCCCTTCCTTCCTCTAACCCCTTCCCCTCACTCTCTTACCCTTCACCCTCACCCCCCACCCCCCACCCCCCTCCCCCCTTGCACCACCGGCACTCCCTTTCGAATCCTGATATAACGATCAGGTTCTTCTCCTCACTTGTTCTCCGGTTCTTTGTTCTGGTGTTCTTCGTGGGACTCCGCCCTGTTCTCTCTCCCCCCCTCCCCTCTCCTCCCTCTCTTCTCCTCTCCTCTTCTTCTCCTCTCCTCTTTTCTACTCTTCTCTCTTCTCCTCTCCTCTCCTCTCCTCTCCTCCTCTTCCCTCCTCTCTTCTCTTCTCTCTTCTCCTCCCTTCTCCTCTCCTCTCCTCTCCTCTCCTCTCCTCTCCTCTCCTCCCCTCCTCTTCCCTCCTCTCCTCTCTTCTCTTCTATCTTCTCCTCCCTTCTCTTCTCCTCTCCTCTGCTCTCCTCTTCCCTCTCCTCTACTCTCACGCTGTCTGATGTCATCTTGTTTTTTGTTTGTTTGTTTGTTTTGTTAGTTTATCTGTATCCATCCATTGTGTCTGTCTTTAGTTATATATGTATCTGTATTTACTTGTTTTATATACACACTCAGACAAACGCACAAATGATCAAATAAATAAAAGCCGCACAAACAGAAATATACGCACACACACACACGCACGCACGCACACACACACACACACACACACACACACACACACACACACACACACACACACACACACACACACACACACACTCACACACACACACAAACAAACACACACACACACACACACACACACACACACACACACACACACACACACACAAACAGACACACACACACACACACACACACACACACACACACACAAACAAACACACACACACACACACACACACACACACACACACACACACACACACACACACACACACACACACACACACACACACTCACACACACACAAACAGACACACACACACACTTCGCATTCTGTAATCACAATATCTATCATTATTTATCAATCAACAACCTATTTGCCAAATCTCTGTCCGGTTAATTACAAAAAGAAAAGAAAAGCGTCATTTTGATAACCAGTTTTTTTTTTTTTTAGATTAAGAGAAGTTAGTTTTATTAAAAATTGATTAAAGTTGAAGAGATAGATAGAAATATTTTACAACGAAGCGAAGGACCTTATAAGGCATTTAAGATTAATTCTGTTTTTGTGATTGTCAATTACCTCGTTCTGTTTTTTGTCTTTTTGTTTGTTTTTTTGTTTGTGTGTGTGGCCTTGCTGTTGGAAATATATGTTGTTGTTTTTACACAAATATATATATTTGGATACATATATATGCGTGTGTGTGATTGCGTGTGTTTGTGTGTATTTGTGTTTATGTGTGTGTGTGTGTGTGTGTGTGTGTGTGTGTGTGTGTGTGTGTGTGTG